AAATTATTGTAATACGATATTGTATTATGTAGACAAAAGGAGTAATAAAATGAAAAATTAATATTTAAATTCATCTATGTATTTTTGTGTGATAAGATAAATTAAATATAACAAAATGGGTATCAAACTCGAAAATATTTTTTAGGAAAGTTGCCACCTGTGTGAAAAATTTTATTTAATTAAATTGATAAAATATTTGAAATATTACAATACGCCTATCAAACAACACAAAAATACTTTTAAGGCGCAGTGAAGCACCCAGGTTATTTGCTAGTAAAAAATAAAATTGAATTTCAAAAATTGCTTACTATATTAGGACTTTGTAGTTTTTTATTTGTGGTTTATATTACCACAACTAAAACACCGTTTACATCACGTCAGATACGATCGATTTGCTTTGTACCACCTATTGTGTCGATTAAAATTTTAAGCAAGTGAAAAAGAGCAAAGTAAAAGAAAAAGTTGTGAAGGTGATTTAATAAAAATACGTGCTACAAAATACAAAAACAAAATTGGCCTAGATCCTGGGTGTCGGCTCATTTTAGCTGGCATCCAGAACAATGTTCCTGTCAAAATTGAAAATTCATACTACCAAAATCTTTGTTTTTTTTTTCTCGACAAAATAAACTACAGAAATATACTAATTAGCTGGCATCCAGAACAATGTTCCTGTCAAAATTAAAAATTCATACTACCAAAAATTTTCTGTTTTTTTTTCTCGAAAAAATAAAATACAGATATATAAATAGATTTCGCGACAAAATCAGAATTATCGGCAAATTCGTCAAAATTTAAAGAATACTGTAAATTTCAACTTAAGATACTACAACAAAAGCAACCAATTTTCTCGCAAAGAAAGGTGGCTCGGTTAAAGTTGAAGAAGTACATTTGCCGACAAAAAGCCTGCAACCACATTGCGAAACAACTGGTACCAAACACAAAAAATAGTACCTTAATATGTGTAGGTTCAACCGAGATTGCTTCAAACTCACCAATGCGCGGATATAGACGAGTACCTAATCGGTTACTAATCGCAGCTCTAAAACAACGCAGAGCAGACATCCTAATGGTGAACGAATTCCGGACAACAAAACTTTGCGCAAAATGTTTTAGCGTCAACCTGACGGCCAAACCGCCCACAGGTACGAATTTTGCCTAAAATGCGGTACCTGTTGGAATCGAGACGTCAATGCTGGGAAAAACATTCTCTACCTGGGAGAATGTATCATTAACTAAGACGAAAAACACGAAAATTTTCGAAAATAAGATGTCACTATTTCTTATATAACGACAATTTGACTGGCAACAGTTTAACTTTTATTAGTTATTAAGTAATCCTGTGTATCCCATTGACTAGCCATTCGTCTTTCTGTAAAATAAAATAATATATAATTTGATTGTAAATATATTTGAAACTATATGTATAAGTACATATATATTAGCATACATACATATATACATTTATATATTACACCTACTTTTTGTATCTAGCGAGTATTTCTTGTTTGAAGATCTCGAAGCGCTTTCGGTTTATGTTATTTTGCTGTTCACGCCAAACCGGTCGTGCTTTTTTCTGCTGCAATCCCCAATGGCAGTTAAAAACAGGGGATAGTACAAAAAAAGTGTACCCAGCGATATACATTTCGTAGACCTAACATTAAAATAAATTAATCAATAATTAGTTACGTATATGGCGCATATCGTCGTTATCAAGGCAAACAGTCCCGTTAACATACTTTGGAAATCGTTTCTTATTCGCAAATATTCCGCTAGTATGGTCTCAGATACTTTCGCAGTTTTATCTTAAATACTATGCGAATTATTGGCATCCTTGCAAGCATTTTTACGCTAATTTAAAGTTTTTTTGCATCAATTTAACTTTAAATTTGTGATTCAGGGATTTTTACATTGATGACGCCAACTGTTAGAAGTGTATTTACTTGTACCTACATCAGTTAAAAGATATTTACATATCTATGTACCTGCGAGTTTCTGGTGAATCCATAACCTATAAATCTCTCATCATGTGCAGGAACATCGTCAAAGGCGACATAGAAAGGCTCGTACAAAAATTCAAAATTTGTTACAACATGACTTATGTGCGCCCGCTCTTCTTCAATTGAGGAATTCGTTAGCCATAAGGAAAAGTTAGTTGCGTATTGGTTGTATATAAAAACCTTCTCGTGAAATGGTCGTACTAGACCTTTCCTATAGAGTCGCATAAGCTCCGGCTTCGAAACTGGAAACATAGCTCTATTGTCTATTTCGAAAGTTGGAATCACATATGCGCATCGGTAACTGCATTTTGCTGACTGTAGAAAATTATTCAAAAGTGATACCATATTTCCACTAGGAATTATATCGATGTCCGTTAGGAATACATATTTATTTTGACACCCTTTTCTTGCTAGGTTACGTAAATGATTTTGAGGATATTCGTTCTTTATGCGCCATCTTATTGTGTCCGCAGAGCGCATTTTGAGTAAATGGCGTAGTGTTTGTTCAGGATATTGGCAATCAAAGTTTTTTATAAGATTTGGCTTGTGACCGTGAGTAGGTTTCTTGTCATTCGGTATAGCAATGTGAAATGTAACGTTATCACGAATAAATGAGAAACAAAGCCGCATGTATGTTACGAAGTATTGTAAAATAGAAAACTCTTCATTTCCGGCAACATAAACAGCAGTGGATATCGGACCGTTCCATTGGTGAGCAACTTGTGTCAATGAATATAGCCGCTCCACAGAACTTTGGGTAGCTAAGCATACAATGTTTTCATGCGAAGCTTCAACAAAGTTATCTCCAATCAAGGCGAAATCATACATCTTATAAAGCCGATGATTGTCCCATCTTCCGGTATCAAAGCTTATATTTTCGAAAGCAAGCCTAAAACTATGCTTCGAAATTTTCTCGAATGCTGTTCTATTAATTGTAGAGTCTATTAATAGAGTTTTTTCAAATGCAGTTGTTTTCGTTATTCTATTTGACGATTTATTGACATACTGCGAACGCGTTTCCATTTCAAGTAAGCAAAGTGTCCACAGAAGGTTTACCGCGGTTGAAAAAATTAATAAGAATAAAACCAAGCATTTAACTTTAATTATTTTCCACTGAAAAAAAAGAAAATATATTAGTGACAGTATAATGCACACAGATATTGACGTACATGTGTACACATGATAAATAAAAACTCCTGAAAATCCACTTATTTCACCATTTTTGCCCTTTTCTTATTTTTCTTTTATTAAGGAATGGTCATCACCGTCAACTATCGGCACAATAATCGATATGGAACAATCAGTTATCACCGCTTGTTGCCAAATTACTTTCCTACAAGACGCGACTACCCGAAACTCCAATACATTGAAAGGATTTCTCTTCCCTGCAAACCAATGTTCCCAAAATCTCATTTCTGTAACGATTTTTTTACGAATCTTCAAGGAAAATTGTATGAACTCGTTAAGATATTTCTGTACGAAAAATAAAGAAAATTCTGCAAGAAATTCTTCACATTGCAGCATTATTTTCATTGTTTTACCGATTTTCTTCCGGAAGAATCGAATTGTGCACAGTTTATTTCATTTTAGAAAGTTCGGCAAAAAATCGGATGAGATCTTTACGAATGCTTTAAAATTTCTCTACAGTTCAGAATACGCTGAAAAAATGGTTTGCAGGGTTGTAACCAACATCACATTAAAAGAATTTCAATTGAAACCAAAACACACACACGTGACGCTTAAGTGTGTAAGAAAGAAAGGGATAAAAGATCACACGTATACAGGAGTTTCGGGTAGTTTTATCCACTCGGCCTTAAGAAACTCGATAGCAACTTCCATTGAAATTTATGGGGCACTCGGTTAAATCATATGTATTTATCCGGTAATATTCAACAATTTTTCCCATAAAATAACAAAAACAAATAATTTATCCGATAATGATAAAGCTGTATTCTGAAGAAAATACATATCGAGGGCTTATATTCCATACCTTCTATCTGAAATTTTCACAAAAACTACTTTGTGATGTTAGAATCCACCTGGGAAATACCTCTCATCTCTGTTGTTAATTTTGACTTTGCAATTTAATAGTAAATTCTTTTGTCAAGCCTTATACAAGGTTAGCATTAATATTACCGATGACTGTTAAGTATTAGGTGGATTTTTATATCAGAATCTCATTTTTGTGAAAAGTGCAGATAGAGGGTATTGAATATAAGCCTTCGATATGCATATAAGTATGTATGTACATTTGTACATGTTTTAAAAAGTATACCACCCATATATTTCAATCAAAATTGAACTGTGTCAAAGCAAGACAAGCAAGATCTTTGCCCAAATCAATCAGCAGCACGTTGATATCTTGAATTTATAAGTGTTTTCTAACCGATGTGAGAAATAAAAATTTGTTTCCTACCCTTTCGGAAGCATCAATGCTCAAAAAGAAGCGATTCTCGCCATATGACAGTTCATCGTTTTTTTTGTTTTTTGGTTTGTTTCCGATTAACATTTTTTAAGGCAACGATTTGTACATAATTCTCGTGAAAATCGATTGCTTACAAATTGCTCTCCTGGCAATCAAAGGGTGGGTGGTTCTGCATGCGGGTTGTATTTACATATGCATGTACACAAATACATACATATGTACATACATTTGCAAATCGTCGCCTAGGTAAAAGATTGTCGTATGTTATTCACGTACGTATGACGCTTATGACAATCTTTTACCCAGGCGACGAAATGTATGTCGCTTTTGACTTTGACTGTGTTACCATATTAAAGTGGTGTACGTATTAATAATAATAGGTTTGTATAGTAACCAATAGTCAGTACTAATTTCTACTGGAACTTGCAAATTTTTACTGGCAAAGTGTATGATAACCCAAAAAATTTGCAAGAGAGCACTGAATCGAGAGCGTAACAACACGGGAGAGCTGCAAATTCTTGCTAACATGGTTGCCACTCGCCAACATTTTTTTCTACCAAAATCTCTTAAGAAAAGTTACCAAATCTTCAATACCAAAATCTTCACTTTTTCACTGAGAATATAAAATATACTGAAAAAAACTGCTATATTTCATAACAAATGTGTATATACTTTCAGCCCGATTCTGTGCACTTAATAAATTCAATATTTTTATAAATTGTCAATTTTCGATTATTTATCAACAAACGCCAGTTCTAGCAAAGTTTAAATTTATTTTCTTGATAAATTATCAAGATTGAAAATGCTATTGACAATTATAATAATCTTTTCTATTAGAAAATATTTTTCTATCAATTAATTGCTGCATGTGCCGATATTCTCGTTTTCGTTGTTGGTGTTTCCGACACGGTAGGAGTAATGTGGAACGATTTTTCGTCATCTTTTGGCAAATTTGGTTTGGAGACAAACCGGTTTCGGCGTTGTGCCATCTTCAGTGTCATTTTTCGTTCGGAACGTGCCGATATTTGAACCTGCGACTCACGGAATAATAGCACCGGCGTACAAACAAAGTGGCGGGTACTTTTAACCGGAATTGAGCTATTTTTTCGGTTTTTTCATAATTTACTGTACGTGTCAAACGGACCTCAGATTCGGATTCTGTGGGTCGAAATACATGTCGGTAGGTGGGACTGGTATAAAGCACGCGACTTTTATTTTTTTTGTGCAGGAATAATCAAAACGATTTGTGGACCTTACCAAAAATTGCCAGATGGCCGAATTTTTATACCAGTTTTACTGTAGAATTCAAAATGTATCGCAAACATTTGAAAGTTGTTTCAGAAGTGCAGCCCGTGGTGCTGCCACTGTAATTCAAATAATTCCAGTATTCAAATATGAGATGACTCTAATTTTATCGAAGTAAATTTGTAGAAGTGTCGGTAGTGCTGCCACTGAAACTCGAAGGGTTTTATAATTACGCACAGGCAAAACATAATTCATTTCTTTCTACTAATGCAAATAGATGTTTGGTTGCAAAAGTTACCAAAATAAAATAAAAGTTACCAAGTTACCAAATCGTTTAAAAGTTACCAATTGTGGCAACCATGCTTGCTAATGAAATTTTTACTAGCAGAAATTAGCTAGCAGAAGAAGAAAAAGAATAAATGTCAAAAGCCGCCATTTGTTGAATTGATTTACCACATACTAAAGTAAAATGAGTGGAAATCAAAATATTAATGATGTACTGGACTGTGTAAGTGCTTGTTTGTAAGGCAAAGAGTTTAAAACTGATTTATAAATAGTAAAATGTTTACAGCAGAATATCCACTTGCAAGTTTTTACTAGTTTTGTGTTCAATAACTTTTTCTGCTAGTTTTCTCTTCTCAATTTTACGCTCTCGCTGCAATATTTTACTGAAGAAGTTACTATACAAACCTAGGGATGAATCGATACAAGTAAATCCAAGTACATGCTCGACACTTTTCTCAATTTACCAAGTATTTTTGTACTCGATTCTTTTTACTGCGATCCAAGTAGGTATCGAACAAAAATACTTGTATCTTGCCAAACTTACTATGCTTCAGCATCTTCTTTGAAAAGCAACGCCTTTCAGAAAAACACAGGGAATATAACAAAAAAGGAGTTTTTTCTTAAACTTATTTTATACGATAAAAACTTTATCTGTTAATGTTGTAAAAATGTATTCTATTGTTTTTAAAATAAAATACTATACGAAAATAATTGTTGTCTTAAATTTTTGCATGAAAAAACATAAAAAGATAAATAGTCTTATAAAAATGCATATTTTTTGTGAAATACAATAACTTTGAAAAATATGCAAAATCGTATTTCTATGCACATGTACTCGATATCTTTCCGATAGGTGTCGATACCTTGTTTGATACAAGTACAAGTACTGATGGTATCGATTTATCCTTATACAAACCTAATGATATTTGAAAACTGTTTGGCTGTTGGTCGGTTCCAGAACCGGATCTGAGTGCTGCCGGGCTAAAATGCGAACCTGTACCTACTCGGACACAGCGGTCTCTTATTTTCCTACGAACATTAAATTCATTCGTTTTATATTCATTTTAATATTCGTTGATCCTCGGATTCTAGATAAAGTCTTATTGTATACTAAAAGTGTATACATATGTACATATATATTTATTTGTATGTACTAAAACCCAGGAAGCAGCAAAACGTACGTTTATCCAGAAACTTACAGAAAAATTTTCATTCAGGGCCTGTGCCAATTGATAGAAAAGTACTCTGGATAGTAAATTTTTGACAGCTAAGAGGTGAATAAAAGTTGTTAATCCGGCAGGGCTAGTGAAAAATTTAACAGCAAGCATTAGCTTTGTTTCTTTACAGATAATTATAACTAGGTTCTGCTGGAAAGGTTTCCTAACCCAAAAAACTGGCACAAACTAACAGCTCCCTCTCGTTCTTACGCTCTTCTTTTTTTGTATACATAAATGCTCAGAATGAAAAAATAAATCGATTAAGCGATGATTGTCTGTCCGTCCGTCTATGCACACGATAACTGGAATAAAAATGAAGATATCTTGAGGAAACTTTCTACGTGTACCTCTTTTGAGCCCAGGACCGATGGTATTGAAAATGGGCAAAATCGGCCAATAACCACGCCAACCTCCCATACAACGGTAGTTTTCAGATATACGAAACTGCGATATTTAGGTAACTACTGAAGCTTATTCACTCAAAATTGATATTTACAATGATCTTCAGGAGGAAAATAAGTAAATCTTGGTAACCGCTCCATCAATTTCTTCCAAACTTGACACAATAGTTGGTCTTGGTAAAAAATACCAAACGTCTGAAAATTTTGAAAATCGGACAATATCCATGCCCACCTCCTATATAACGGTAATTTAGAGAAATACGAAATCTTGGATATATCAGTAACTACTTAAGCTAATATATTCCAATTTGATGTTTGCAATAATTCTCTAGCAAGAAATACGTTCATGACAAATTTTTAGAAAATGAGCGACCACACTAGTGTATCTCGGTAACCGTTCTATGAAATTGTACTAAGCTCGGTATAAATATTGTACTTGACACACAAAACCAAGAAGATAAATTTTAAGAAGTCGGAATAAAATTGCGCTTTTCATATAACGGTAAATTTCAGAACTGCTGAACCACCCCTGCTTACCATTTAACGGTAGATTTCGGAAAGGTGAAAAAATTATATTTAATACTTGCGCCGGGTATTCAAGATTCGGCTTCGCCCGAACTTAAACTTTTTTACTTGTTTACAATAACAAAAACATAAATTTGTTTTTAATTCGATATTTACATAAACTCCATAAAGGTTTAATTTTAATTTTGAGCCTTTTTGCAGTAATTATACAGCTAAATAGCAGATGAATTGCATAATTCACGTAGATTTCATAACATTTCGTTCAATATTTCATTTAAAATGACAAATTTCCTGCAAATGCATTAGAATTAAAAAAAGAAATTTCACTACTAATTTACTACTTTGTGTACTTTTCTACTACCATTTTCGCACCAAGGAATTCCAATCTTTCCCGTTTCCCCGTCCATTGTAAACGCAAGGGCGTGTCAAACCGCGGATGTCAATAATTATCAAGGCCCTCAGTTTTAAAAATTTTCCCATTGCTGCCAACTTGGCTCAAACCGTGCCATTTTTGGCCCTATTTTACTTCAAATTGCACTTAATAATATTAATTTGGCACTTTTAAAAAATAGTAGTATTTCAATACATTTTTGTGGAATGCTTTGTCTACTTCTTTTTCTCAACTAAAATTTTCTAATTTCTATAGTGTATACAACTGGTTTATCTTACATTGGCATTGGACTTTTGTTTTAGGAATGTGTTTCCAATTTATTGCTAAATGGGAAAAATTAAAAACAATGACACCTTTCTGGACACTTTAAGTTTTCTATTTGGCTTATTTTGACACTTTTTCATCCTCAATATGCCACTTCATTTGATATAATCCGAGCTTTAAGAGAACGCAAAGCAGACATTCTAATGGTTAACGAATTCAAAACAACAAAACTTTGCGCAAAGTGTTTTAGAATCAACCTGACATCGAAATCGCCACACAGATACCAATTTTGCCCAAATTGCAGTACCTGTTGGAATCGAGACGTCATTGCTGTGAAAAACATTCTCTACCTGGGAGAATGTATCATTAATCAAGACGAAGAACACGAAAACTTTCGAAAATAAGATGTCACTATTTCTTCTATAATGGCAACTGTGTACATCTGACTGCGAAAACAATTTAACTTTTATTAGTTAGGGTCTTTCGCTCTATATTTTGTTCTCAAATACGCACAGTTTTTTCATACATAAATACTTGGCGACAACTTTTGTATTACACGTACACACATACTTTGTTGTCATTTTTATAAATATACTATATATACATATGTAAAAATCTAATAGTATGCATTCAGGAAATTTTTTAAATATGTTGCTATTCAGACAACCCAATCAATGACTTATTTCAACACGTTTCTTAAAAATTATTGATACACGGTACTGGTTAAGAGAACAGTCTTTAAAATAACTTGATGAAAAAAGTTATTGAATGAATTGTACGAATAAAAGATATAAAATATGTTGTATGTATAGTATATAAAAAAAAACGTCTTAATTTATCCACGCATACAAAAAAGGAGATTTAAATAAAAGTAAAACGTTCGTCCTCGATGTAAACTAATTTGTGGCGTGAGTTTTCGTTTAATTAGATCGTTGTTTTTGTCGAGTTTAAGTTTTTTTTTGTTTTTTAATACCTACTTCGTACTGAAAATTATAGCCGTTTGCGTTTCGTTAAGTTCGTTTTTGTGTTTTGTTTTCTTCTTTGGATTTATATGTATTCACATACATATACGTTTACATATGTACATATGTATGTATATGTATATATTTATACATAGTTATTATTTGGAAAAGTACTTTATGTCATTGTCAGGGTGCCTGCACCAAGCCCGAAACCAACACCTTTTGGTCCGAAATTTCGACCATAACACGCTCTGCAATAAATATCACCATCGGGACCATCATTTAAATTGGTTGAATCGAGGGACTTTCTACAATCAGCACAATGGAAGCAACGTTTGTGCCAAATTCTGCTTTTGCTAATCATTTGCTCAGCAGCGAAGACCGCATAACCGCACCGTGGACAGCCTCCCGACGAACGCGGTCCAGTGAATGGTTTACCTTCGGGGCTGAAAAGAAAAAAAAAACATAGTAAATACGTATGCACTTATTGTATATACGTATGCACATCAGGGTGCTCCTTAAATGTAAATGTAATGATGCAAATTTTTTCATCACATTTCCTCCCCGTCAGATTTACATCAGAATTTTCATGACTTAATACCATTTGAAGGTGAAGAAAAAAGCAAAGTATATAATCGATGAAGAGTACACTTTCCTGCGTAAAAACATGAAGTTGTACGATAGTTCGTAGTTTTTTTCATGGTTCGTACCGTTCCAATTTATTTGTGGAAAACGCGAATAAATTTTTGACTCTGTTCCATAACAATATTTGGGTGCACGCAAATATACTCGGCTGCGAAAACATTTTAAGTAAGTATATAGTACACTGAGCTACTCTTTCGATGAAAATTCAAAAAATATCCCAGATGAAGCGTTACTTAAACGATTTAAAATGGAGCGGAAAGAAATTACACGAAATAGAAAATGTCAAACTATTTGGGTCTTATATCGAATTGTTTTTCAACCTGCACGGTATAATGAAATCAAGGAAATTCAAAATTATTCACTAATTCCACAACTAAAACACGGTTTACATCACATCAGATATGATGGATTTGCTTTCTACCACCTATTGTGTCGTTTAAAATTATTCAAAGGACGATTTTCTTCCTTCGATAGAAGTGAATTTTTAAACTTCCTTCAACGTGTACTCATTTTGTATGAAAACTCAAATAAAATAACAAAATGAAACTGAAGTGAAGAAGAGAAAACTAAAAGCAAAAGAAACCGATTGTGAGGGTGATTTAATAAAAATACGCGTAACGAAATACAAAAACAAAGTTGGCCAAGATCCTGGGTGTCTGGGGCATCCAGAAGAATGTTCCTGTCAAAATAAAAAATACATATTACCAAACCCTTTCTGGTTTATCTTCTCGCTAACTAAAAGTAGATAAATATACGAAAGATTTCACCACAAAACCAGAATTGTCTGCAAATTCATCGAACTTTCGTGAATATTAGAAGTTTCAGCTTGATATACTGGAACAAAAACAAAAAATTTTCTCGCAAAGAAAGGTGGCTCGGCTGTAGCTGAAGAAGTACATTTGCCGACAAAAAGCCTGCAACAACATTGCGAAACAACTGGTACCAAACAGAGAAGATAGTACGTTAATATATATAGGTTCAACCGAAATCGCTGCGAACTCGCCAATACGCTGATATAGGCGAGTACCTAATCGTCTACTAATCGCAGCTTTAAGACAACGCAAAGCAGACAATCTAATGGTTAACGAATTCAGAACAACAAAACTTTGTAGAAAGTGTTTTAGCATCAACCGGACGTCCAAATAGCCCCACAAGTAGCAATTTTGTCCAAATTGCCGTACCTGTTGGAATCGAGATGTCAATGCTGGGAAAAACAAATTATACCTCGGGGAATGTATCATTAAGCAAGACGAAAAACACGAGAATTTACGAAAAAAAGATGTCACTGTTTCTTCTGTGACGGCAACTGTGTACATCTGACTGTGAAAACAGTTAGTTTGTTCGTTTCCTTTGAACTTCGGACTAAAACCTGTGGAACTGTCAAACTACAAATTTACTCTCTCAAGTGAGAGTAACAAGAGAACAGATGCAGAAGTGCACGGGAACGCAAAAAGCACTATTTCCTGTAAAAACGTCAGTTGGTTTGTTTACATGTCATTTGTACAACACTGATTTGATATTTCGTTGTTTACTTCCATATTTTTACAAATATAAGGCTCTTTTCTTACACTGCTTTCTGTTTTTGTTTGCACACGCAAATCAGCTGATCGTTTGACACTTTTCATGAACTTACAGAAAAAAAACTCCGGACTAAATCCTGTAACTTCTGACTAGGAACAGTTGCTCAGTTAATCTCTCAAAAGTGTTCCCACTTACAGGTTTTATGTCAATAGGAACGACTTCCTGTAAGTTCTGACTAAATCCTGTAAACCGGACTGCTATTGGAACATACTAAGTTTAACTTTAATTAGTTAACGACGCCGCCACAAAGGCTATTGGAGTTAACCTCTGATGTGAACATACATATATTCATATACCAGTATATTTGCTACTTACTATTGAATGGTAGATTCACCAGAAGTCGACACCAGTGTTGGTGCGTGGCCATAGCCGAATCCTTTCGGGCCAAATCGTTTGCCATAACAAGCCCTGCAGTAAATATCCTTATCAGGTCCGTCGCAGGCAAGCATCGAGTCCAGCGGGCGATGACACTCAGTGCAGTTGTAGCACTTCCTATGCCACATACGACCTTTGGAGAGCTGTTGCTCAGCAGCAAAAACAGCTCCGCCGCAGCGTGGGCAGCCCTCGCCTTCAGGTGCTTTTATTGACGTAGTATCAGGACACACAAATGGTCGCTGGGAGGAAATTTGATCTTCGCTAAAAATCACGAACGGATTAGAATCTTTGAGTTATATAACTGAAATAAATTAACTAACGTCATGCCATCGGTTTGCAAAAAACTGGATCCGCATGCGAATCCGTAACCGTGAGGACCCCATTTCTTTCCATAGCAAGTTTTGCAGTACACTTCTTTGTCAGGTCCATCGCACGCAATGATAGAGTCCAAAGTTTTTGTACAATCTCTGCATTTGAAACACTTCCTGTGCCATTCGCGACCCTTCGATAGCACCAACTCTGCAGCAAAGACCACGCCACCACAACGCGGGCAGCCTTCGCCTGGGCGAGCTTGTATCTTTCCAACATCTATATCTGCAACCTTTGGCGCCATATCACTGCATATCATAGAGGTCAGAAATAAATATAAAAAATGTGTACATACATACATACATACGTACGTAGGTACATACAAATGTATGTATAGTAGTTACAGTGTTTTATTCGACTATAATTGTTTCCGGTTTGCTTTTCATGTCTCACATATGTATGTATGTTGCGATTTATTAAATATGCATTGTATATGAGCTAATTGAGCCGTTCAGTGCACTCATCGATTAAGTGTCAAAGCACTTGATATAGTCATAACTTATTACGTTTATAATAACTTTATATAACGTACAATAGTACATGATATTTATAACAGCATTATTTATTTGATTTTATAATATAAATGGAACTTAAAAAAATAATGTACATTATTTGATCGCATCTCCCACCGTTTTAATATCAATTTGTGCACTGAACTCTACTATAAAGTCAATATTGTGGATTGTATACATTGAATACTTAGAACAAAAGAACGACGCTTTAGGCTACCAGCGACTTCATACAATTAACTGGTTTTGTTTGGTTTTCTATCATTAAATTACGGGTATATACCTTTGCCACTCGGCATCTTTTATGTCAGACATAAGACCCATAGAAGACATTCCTATATGACCATAACCCCTTGCGCCAAATTTCTGAGCATAACAGCCTGTGGTAATTAAAATAAATAAATATCCATAGTACAACTCAGTAAATATACATACATTCATGGGATAAGTTTTTGAAATCAACTAAGATGCAACATTTACCCCCAAAACTGGCTCAAAGAACATTTCAATGCATTCTTGTATACATAAGTACATATAATTTTCTAATACAGTTATGTACGTACATGGATACATGCATACACATACAAACCTATGTTTTAACATTTGCACTTGCACTTGCAGAAGTATATACATATATATGTAAGTAAACTACATACATACATAGTTACATGACAGCGTATGGGAAAACATGAAAAATTTGAACGTTTATCAGACATCTGACTGGCAACAGTTTAACTTTAATTAGTTTATTAATCAGGTTATCAGAACTTACCCATTTGCGTAGCAGTCAGACTGAAGTGCACCACCGCCTTGACCATATCCATAGCCTTTGGGTCCGAATTTCTTGGCATAACAGCCTAACATAAATAACATAGCATAACATGATTACACATCATACACACATTAAACATATACATATGTTTATGTATAAATATGTATGTACGAGTAGGTATAGGTGAAGGAAAATTTGGAATGGGGTGTTAACCGATGTAAACTATGTACATATATAGAGTGATGGCAATGTACATATGTATGTATCAGATGCGAGGCAATTAACCTTTGGTATTCTGCAACATAATAGCGTACTAACGCTAGGCAATGGGCCCCGTCACACCGTTTCACAAATTATACGCATTTTCACTAGCGAAACGAACCGAAAAACACATGTCTTTAAAAAAATTAAATCGCATTTTGGGTTGCCAACTTGTCGATCAAAGTTGACAATCTGCCTTAAAAATTAAAAATTTTTTGATTTTTCTCCAACTTGACGAACAACTTGACGAAGGTTTGTCAACTTGCCCACACGCGGCTTAAAGCATAAACAGATGGCAGCGTTGATCCGGATCAACTCGGGAATTAACTGCAGTTGATCCGGATTAAGTCCGAGTTAGTCCGGATCAACGCTGCCGTCTGTTTAAGCTTTTATTTACCACCAAGTTGTATTGGTTGGAGATTGAGATACTAGAACAAAAGCAACACATTTTCTCGAAAAGAAAGGTGGCTCAGCTGAAGCTGAAGAAGTACATTTGTCCACAAAAAGCCAGCAACCACATTGCGAAGCAACTGGTACCAAACACAAAAGAGAGTACGTTGATATGTGCAGGTTCCACCGAGATCGCTGCGAACTCGCCAATACGCGAATATCGGCGTACACCAAATCGGTTACTAATCGCAGCTTTAAAACAACGAAAAGCAGACATCCTAATGGTGAACGAATTCCGGACAACAAAACTTTGTGCAAAGTGTTACAACATAAACCTGACGGCCAAATCGCTCCACAGGTACCAATTTTGCCCAAAATGCGGTACCTGTTGGAATCGAGACGTCAATGTTGGGAACAACATTCTCTACCTGGGAGAATGTATCATTAACTAAGAAGAAAAACACCTAAATTTTCCAAAATAAGATGCCATTATTTCATATATGGCGAAAAATATGTACATCTGACTGGCAACAGTTTAACTTTAATTAGTTACTGCAAAGGTACTTCCACCATACATAGTTTACATCGGTAAGTCCAGTACAAAAGTCTTTGAAACAGCCGTCACAATCAAGATAGGTAAACACTTTCTTCTATGACTTTTGCATGGTAAGAGCTCTCTTAAAATATAGTGGTTAATTTTTTAATAATCATAACCTAATTTAAAACTCACCTTTGCAGTAAATATTTTTGTCCGGACCTTCGCAGCAAAGGATTGAATCTAGGCCTTTGGAACAGTTTCCACACTTAAAACACTCCTTGTGCCATTGCTGTCGAAAGGATATACGGTTGATTATATATACATATACAGTACATACATATGTACAAAAAATGAGTAGATATTTGGTTTTTTTGTGAAGGGTTGATTTACATTTTACGTGAGATGCCCAAGCTAAAATGGCAATATCTCGAATCAAGCTGACACCTGGGAAAATTAGTATCTAATATGGTGGTAATATAACCCGAAAAAAAGTTTTCCACACTTTTGAAGTTTTGTTGTAGATAAAAGAGGGATCTTGACTTGTCTTGGGGACAGTTTTATGAATTTTTCTAAAAATTCTAAATAAAAAGTTTGAAAATTTGGTGAAAGTTTGTCGAATTTTTATAATTTTTGTACAACGTTTGAAAAGAGGGACTTATATGGTGCTTGTTGTATAACTACCCGGGCTTTTCTAAAATTATTAAACACAAAATAAACCAAAGAAATTTAGCCAAAACCATGATAAAAACATTACTCATTGAAAGGCAGTCTGACGTTTGCCAGCAATATAACTTTAAAATAGGAACTCAAAAAACAATAATTGTGAACAATTAAATTTTTTTATTTTCAATTTTATATGCTTTTAAAATGCTTGCAAACATCAGAAAAAATCATGGCCGACGAATTGAGAGAATGATTTTACCTTCTAATGTTTTTATCATGGCCAAAACTCTTCAAAGTAAGGAGAGTAATTATTTCTGCCGACAGTGTATATGTACAATGTTCACTCATACGCAGTGTGACACACAAGATAACTTTTGAATGAATGCAAGTATACAAACATACATATTTAAATTTGTTAATTTTTGACGTCAAATATTTAAATATCTGGAAAAAAATCATTCTGAAAATTGGTAATTTTTTTAGCAAAAACCGGTAAATTTTAAAGTTCTTTTTCTGAAAACAGCCAATTTATTACATATTAAAAAACATGGTAAAATTTTAATAAAATTTAAAAACAAAATTCAATAATCGAAAATGCATGAAAAGTTTATTGGATCATACAAAAAAATTAACATATTGCGCGGTTTCAAGCCGAATTCACAAAATTCAACCTCTCTTCTCCGTCAAAACTTCAAAAAAGTCAAAAAATATTTTCGGATTATGTTACCACCAGATAGGATGACAATTTTCCCAGGCCTCAGCTTGATACGAGCTATTTCCATTTTGTACCTGGACAAACTATGTTTATCAACAGTTGATTCGTAGCTTTTTTCCTATAAAATAAATACATCTTAATAGAAAATTTTGGGAATTTACTTACTCATATGCAATTATAAAATACAATATAAAATTATGAACAACTTGACGAAGGTTTGTCAACATAATTCCTTGCACATTTAACTCGCGTGAAAACAGCGAGACAGTGAAGCAGCGGAAATTGTAAGCCTTTCAGCCACAAATTTAAAATTTAAGAATTTGAATATTGTATTTTCAAGTGTTAGGTAAGAAAATTACATTCTCGCCCCTGTATTATTATGTGTATAAATTTTTGCGATAATTTTCATGTTTTTTCTCGTTGCTTTGTTTTAAATAAAACTGTATTAAAAATACTAGTACTATTACTAATAAAAGTTATAAATAATAATTAGAATATTGGAATATGTGGTACCGCCCACTTATGTCGTATCTTTGTAACTCAAAAACGAGTTTAGAGCTACACAACTTTGTGCCAAGTGTTACAACATATACTTGACGTCGAAATCGCGGTAACTATTGGAATCGAGACGTCAATGCTGGGAAAAACATACTATACACGAAAAACTTGACATATATATGTATATATATTGTACATACATACTTACTTGAGTTCGCGTTATGAACTATTAAAACAAAAAAATGGTTAACTAATGAACTCAAAACCGGTACACATGTAAACTTGGTTGTTAGTTCCATTTTAGCCAGTAAAAACATTGATGTTAACTTTTTTAACCCTGTTTTTTTTTTACTTTTCACTTTTGGTTTCCACGGTTTTACTATGGGCGGATGACAAATTTTCGGGTGATTTTTTTTTCAGGCGAAACTCAGGATAAGGCAGATTATGTACTTGGATGTGGAATAGCACATTTTCTAAAACTTTTAAGTGATTAAATCCTTGTTAATAGCTATCTTACAAATGGTTTTATCAACACAAAAACGGGGGCGTATCACAAATTATACGCATATTCTGCGTTCCCTGTTTTTTATTGGTTAGTTAATTAATTAGTTAACCCTGTACCTCGGCAATAGATGTCTTTGTCAGGACCGTCGCAATGCATCGTAGAATCCAGTGTTCTGTTGCAATTCAAACACTTGAAGCATCTTCTATGATACCCCTATTTTGATTTATTTTTTTGAAATAAAAAAAAAACAGTATAATAATAATTATCACAGACAAAACTAAAACTTTATAAACTTGAACACAAACTATGTATTTGTCAGTATATGTGAATGCATTTATGAATGCATTTTTCTTTTTGTTGGCACTTTTTCAAACATTCAAGAAAGTGTAAAGTGTAAACTTAATTATCCATACAGGAATCAGAAAAAAACTCTAGAAAGTAGAATATCACATTTCAAGAATGTAAAAAATTGAATGAAGGAACAATTAAATAAATATTTTAACGAGTATTTTAAGCTTTAACGCTTGAATTTTTTCTAATTAAGCACAAAATCTTAACGAGTTATTAGTGACAATATCCATTTCTGAGCCTTGAAACAGCCTAGACCTGGATGGCTGCACATTTGGTTCGATGAAACATTCTTCGCAAACATATTCGCGTAAATATCCGTATTGAAATCGTTATAAAATCGAAATTGTGTTCAGCATATTATTAATTATTATTAATCTGTATCTAATGCTGATTTTTCTTGAATTGTCTAAAACCTTTATTGTATATTGTAATTTTCATGCTACTTTTTTAATGAATTCCAATTATTTTCACTCAGATATTGACTGCTTGTTCAACGAAAAGAAATATTGAGTTGCGATATGTATGTATGTACATTAGGTATATGACTTATTTCTGTGGTCATAAGCAATAACCGCCTAAGTCGAAAAACCTGAATTCGAGAAAAAACGTTTTAAACATTTGGATTGTAAATGTTAACCTTACGGGGAAACCAAAATATGTTCGTCTATAACTTTTTAAATAGCCTAGCTGGCGAGATGGTGATTTCGCATGTACATGGAATAGTAGTTGGAGAATACGAATTGGGTTTCATTAACATGTATTTTCTAAAAGTACACCTATCCAAGAGTAAATAAAACCCCATTTGGGTTTGTAAAGGTGAGCTCGCATTATTTGTATGGCCACTGAAATTTTACTTCTAAACTATAATGTAAATAAATTACTTTATGGGGTCGAGTTCCCAAAAAATTTCAAGTATTGAAGCGAAGAAATCAATTGTTTTGTTTTGCTTTATGTTGCCTCGCTGGATTTGTTAATGCGGTTTTTTACATAGAGTGTCAGAAATTATGCGGTTTTTCGAAAATGCCGGAACGCATCCTCTGTTTTTGTATGAAAGTAAAGAACTTTTTTATGCGGATTTTTTTTTAATCGGCTTTCAGAGAAACGCATATACCGCATAAAAAAATGTATTTGGCCCTAGTTACGCGAGTATGTTGATTTTTTGTTTATGTAAATTTTACTGTCGCATGATGTAATCTCAAAAAAAGTCATGTGTACCTCAAAACAGGTACTCAAATTACTCAAAATCATCCTTACTCTTGTTTTTCGTTAGGTGTATGTAAATATTTGAATAATCTGAGCTTTTAAAAGCTGAAACTTACTCTGCCACGTGCCAACATCTGTTCAGCCGCATAGACGTAACCTCCACATCTGGGACACCCTTGTCCTTCCGGAGCTTTAGCTATTGCTCGTGGCTCCAAGCGTGCCCCATTGCGCACACCATCAATGTCACTATTGTTAAAGAAAGTCGAAATGCATACATACATACTTATGTATAAACTTTATTTAATTTTTAATAATTGATTATATACATACAATGTACATAACATGATCATTAGGGTGGCCCCTATTTTTCAAGTATAGTAGTTTCCTGTGATACCCTTTAGTAGTATAGGTTAGGGGTAAGAGGAGTTTCTCGGAGCGCCGAGCTCAGTATTTGAAAAATTATAAACATCTGTAAAAGTACATAACGAGGGTCACTGAAAAGTATGTATAATAACTATGACTAAGAAGGTAACAAGTTTTGTCGGTGAAAATGGTCTTATTGGTTTTCAAGATATTCCTCACATGGTTTATATATTTTTTTTTACGCTCAAACCAATAGGCGAAGCATTTCTCCTGCAATGAAGTCGGTACCGTTAAAAGCTTTTTCTGGTGATGAGAATCGTTATGTATATATATATGATCGGATCTAAATCAGATTAGTATGGGTTCACCTCTGAGACACTAGGTTTCCGACGCAAAAAGAATTTTCGAAATCGGTTGACGTGGCGCAAAGTTAAAAATATTCCGACGAAATGATAACCTCCTCCTCTTTCCGAAGTCGTTTAAAAAGGCCATAAGGTGCCAAAATTTCAAATTTTACCATGCAAAGGACAGATCTACTTAAATGGCATTAGTGTTGGGAATTCTAAAGACATTTTAGTGACACTCGTATTTAAAAGAGATTTCTGTTTGCAATTATCATTTTTGAAGGATGTGGAACGTGTCCTTTGCAAATGCTTATCTTAAGTTTTGTGGATTATCATCTCTGCCATACATTTGTAAATGTGAACTTACAATATACATAGTTGACTCCTGATTTTCTTATCTACTTTGCTTTTTTTAAGGAAAAGTAGTAGGCAAGCATTTTGAAGTTTTGATGTTCACTTCTCTAAGGCGAAAAAATCTCTATGTACAGATTTTGACCCTGTTTACTGTTTTAAATCCAGCAAATAATTGTTAATTTGTGGATGTTTTTTTAACGTTAAAGTCCGAGGTATTTCCCTTAATCTAAAGAAAGGTGCGTAAATGTTTTACGAAATTTTCAAAGAGTGCCTTAAAAGAGCCACCCTAATAAACATTTTAAAAAGTTCGTTTATGCAGCCATGCATGATTCGTCAAAAAACTTAATGAGTTGGTGTATTTGTATGACATAATGATGGTTTGATGAAAATTCAAAATGGGTTTAGCATACAAATAGTACTAATACCTAAAATGTGATTGGAACAAATTTATTAGGTTTATAAAATCGCCGACATGCGTAAAATTTCCGAAGCTAAAGCTATTTTGTTTGTACATGTTTAATTCTTTTTATTTTTCTTCATTGTTTGTTACTTCTTTTTTTTCTTGAAATGATTAAGTCATGCGAAGTGTTTAGTGTTAGCCCGTGCATCAGCGGCAAACCAATCAACGAACTAATTATTTCATTAAATTACGTCTGTTAATGAATTCAAAGCGTTCGTTTGATTTTTGCTACACAGAGATGCTAAATACATACTGTCTGACATTATCCTCTAATAGTCATTCCTCTAATAGTCATTAGTATACATACATTTAAACGACTCACATTTAAAACTTACATATGTAGATACATATGTATGTATGCACATATACACATAGCAGTTATATAGTTTATGAAATTAAATAAAACAATGAACACAATAAAAAAAAAAACAATACATATCTCCCATTGTAAAAATGTTTAATGCAATGATTTTGGTAAATAAAATCCATTTTTATTTTTATTACAAATTTTTTAATAACATTTCACAAATACAAACATATATTCATGAAATATGCATCAATATAAAAAAAAAAATAAAAAAAAAACAAATATTAATATTAATATTATTTCGAGGCGACATGTGATTAAACATTGGAACATGTGGTAGACTATCTTTACGGGAAAGGTGTTCACATTAACACGACAGAACAATTTTGATTCCTGAACTCACTCCATCGCTGCGTCTATATTTCGCCACGTAAATTAGTTGCTGCGATAACATGAAAAAATAATAATATGTTTGAATTTGAGGAAAACATATGTGTTTTCAAATTATCTAATATAAAGTTAAAGCATGATGCGTAGGCATTTTGAAAAATTAATTTAGAAATTTTGTGAACGTTTTTAAGTTACATATTTTACTTTTAAATATGCTACGGCGGAAGCATGAAAAGTGCTTAGCTTTTTTTTTTAATTGTTCTTAATTAACACCGGCATAAAATGAAACTGAAATTGTTTTTATTGCCCTAAATTAAATAGATATTTACACATTCTCTATGTATATATGTATATCGCATCGAAAGTCATCTGAGATTGATTTAAATACCTAGTCAAACCTTTATTTATGTTTTACAATGGGAGAATAACGGAATTGAAAATATTGATCATGATTTCTAAATAAAAACTTGAATGTTCGGAAATGTTTACACCCATCTATATTCGAAAAAATAATCACGTATTTAAAAGTGAAGCTCCCGAAATGAAAGGGAATCGAAAATTAAATTTTCAGATTATGGCAACGTTTTTGAAAATGAAAATAGGATGGACGAAATTAGTATCTGAATAATGAGAAAATGTAAACATGCACACACATGAGCATCTGTACAAAGTTACCTACACTTACATATGTTTATATGTATGTAAATATGTGCATTAAGAAATGGTCTATTTATAGTGGAAGTGTGGAAAACAAATACAACAAAAATGATTACTTTACTCGATATTTGTAAGTGCCTATATATACGCATACGTGATGTGTGCAGTGCATACAATAAACATATGTACATACATACATAAATACACATGTATCCACAAAGCTGTATAATGTATCTAATTGTGTGTGTAAATATAGTTTGAGTTATTATGACGGTTTCTACATACATACTATATACATATGTATGTGTGTGGATATCCTTATATTATCAATTTGTATAAAAATATGGAAATATAACTTTTGATGCTCGGGGTTTTTTGAAGGAACTCTGACAGAACACTTATATGCCACCAAAGGATAGGTTATGTATGAAAAAGCTCATTGATGTATGAATATTGAACAATAATAATAATACAATTTTAAATACTCACTCTCTGTTCAAATGTGCACCAGTATCCATCGACAAACATCCAGCACCACCTCCGAAGCCGTAGCCTTTTGGTCCATATTTACGGGCATGGCAATTTTTGCAAAACAGTTCTTTTTCATGTTCTGTGCAGTTTGTGGAGTCCAAGGCTTTGTTGCATAGTCCTGGATTGAAAAAATCAGAGTATTGCGATAATTATTCACATTTCTTATCAAATATTGTGTTTAATTTTGCAGTCGTTAGAGGCTGATCTCCTTACCGCATTTGAAACAGGTTTTGTGGAACTTGTAACCACCAGCTACTCTCTCTTCAGCGGCATAAACGGATTTGCCGCATTTTGGGCATTTCGGTGTCTCAACAGGTGTGAACGGCATTTTTGTATCTATGGATAAATAGAACTCGGTTACTATGACAATTAAGTGGTCTTAAATTTTTTCATCTTTTTTTGTTTCAAGTTTTGTTTTTTTCTGTTAGCTTTGCAAGAAAACCTAAAAGTTATTTAATAGTTGTTTTCCTTTCTTTTTGGTCAGAACACTTTTAAACCAAAACGGTTGCAGACAATTTTTTTTTTTTTTTTTTTGTAGGATACAACATTCAAGCTTATGTATACCTTAGGTAACTGGAATATTTTTATTTTATTTTTCAATTTAATTAAACTATGAAGGTGAATTTTGTATTTCGGAGCACCGCGCCAAAGTACTTTTCCTCGATTAGCAACGATCTCAAATGAACTGAAAGGTTGCTGCACGCAGGTAGTCTATATTTGTGAGTGCACACGGCACAACGTAATTGAATTGTGTGTTATTAGATAGAGACGGCGATCGTTTAGGAGACTCGTAGGCTTGTTCTCGTTTAACTTCTCTTCGTTTAAGGCACCATAGAGAGGAAGAAAGCTTTTGCGGACAAACTATGTACATACATATGTGAGATTGGTGAAGAAAAATCGTTTACTCATGCATAAATATTTAGAAGTACAAATTCAAAAAATGTCTTACTCATAAGTTTTATTTATTTCCTTATACTTTGGATACATACTGCATTATAACAACTAATTTGCAAAAAATAGAAAGTAGTAGCTTTTACTGAACAGCCGAAATCTATTTTTAAAAAATTTTCCTCCAACTCAATAAATTTATAATTTTCATTAGAAGCCTTTGTAAGCGAATGCACTATGCTACTTCGTATGTTTGCTTACTATATGTGTATTTTCATACATACATACATATGTACATGCTTGTCCATATTCTTAATATTGCCAAATTTAAATGTATATCGCTCACTCATTCATATACCCATAGGAATAATTTGAAGAATATGTATAGATGTATGTACACACATAAGTACATTACCTTGTGGTCAGCTGATTAATGGCGTTTTCTTTTCTACAAAAAATGTTGCCTTTTCATTGCCCTCTTCTTAGCATTTGTACGTGGAGGGCACTGAGAAGGCAACAGTTTTCGGTAGAAAATAAAACGTCATTAGTTAAGTAACATTTTGACTAGTTTTGGCTATTTCTCTTTTCTCTGTTTAATCTTTTAATTTTTTTTTATAAAACTCTAGCACATAACATAATCAGTACCACATAAATCCGCATTTCAAATTGAGCAAATTTTAACACTTACACTTAAAAATTTTAGACTTTTTAACCGACTTCAAAAAGAGGAGAAAGTTATCAATTCGTGGAATATATATCGTCGATGTTTTTGCAAAACCGCCCATCGCCCAATTGCAAAGCCGCCTATCTTACGGCACTCAAATTTTACAGGAGAGCGAAAAAACGGTTTATTCTTTAAAGGCATTGCCTTGATAGGCGGTATTTTCTCTAGCTTTTATTTTACAAATTTGTTGTCTTAATAACGATTTAACGATTTTTATGCATAATCTCATTTTTGCCACAATGGCGCTTTAGGCGGTTTAGCAACTGGTCGATGGGTGGTTTTGCAAAAACATCGACGATATATATATATATATTTTTTTAATTATGTTACCGCATAACTTTGGACCATGTTAACTGATTTCGATAATTCTTTCTCTATCGTAAAGGTAGTGTCTCACTGGTGGCCCCATACTAATTTGGTTCAGATCCAATCATTTAATCATGAAAAAATTGACGGGACTCCTAAATTTTTAAATGAGAATTGAAGTCGGTTGTGTTTTTTACTTAATAATTAATTGTTATTCAGAATTTTTAGAAACATTTTAGGTATGCAGTTTTATAGCCTATTAAATTTTAGTAGTGCAAATTTCAAGACGCTAGAAAATCGCGTTGATTTTAATTTTATTATTTTTTTGCTGAGGGTGTTGTGCATTTTTTTTTGTCCTCGACAATTACTTTCATATAGAAGAAAATGCCTAGCACCGTCAGCAAAAATAATTATAAACATTGAATAAACAAAACAAAATAGCCAAAACTGGTCAACAAGTTCACTTAACTTAATCAGCTGACCACAAGTGTACATACATATCGTACCTTCGCTGCAAGAGTGTCATAATCCAAAACTCGATGTATACATATATGTATGTGAATGCTATGTATGTATGTACATATATACTACGTATGTGAATATAGATTTAAAATTTTATTCAACCAATTATATGTAAGTGTTCTAGAGCCCGACCGAAAATAATTTTTTTTCCGAAGTCGAACCGATTTGCCGTCAATAGACTAGCATTCGGCCATACCTGAATCCGATGATCTTTTTTAACCAAATAAAAACTAATTTTTTAGCAAGTACGTACGTGGTAAAAATGAATATATTTACATCCAGCCAGGCCAATTTTGTGTAGTCATATTTCAGATCTGAATTTTGAGTTAGCTCACTTTAAATCTAGGTGTGCGATATGTACATATGTAGGTATTGTACATTCATATGTACTCGTATGCAAGTGCAAATGCGAGTTTTATTCATTAAAACTACGTATATCGTTTCAACTAAGTTTCAACCTCGCTCAAATTTAACCGAGCACTGAAAACCCGGACCTTATACAATATTTGCTACCACCATTATTCAATACATACATACATACACTGCCGGAACAACGTATTGTCACATCTAATTTTTCACAATATATGCAACAATTTTCATTCTAATATTTTTCCGCTAATTTCGTATACAAATATGGTTCATTCTGCAACAGAAAACGTAAAAATATAATTCCTAAACTTTGTGCAAAACTCGCAAAAATTCAGCAAATTTTCATGAAAATTTTCAACTTTTTAATCAGATTTTCTAGAATTTTTTTGAGTATGCAGATTGGTAGCCCAATCAATTTTATCATAAAGTGCAAGTTTTAAATAGCTCGGAATTACCGTTTGGCACGCAGTCTCTTCCATAGGAAATTTTTTTTTCGAAAACACTTTATATGGAAAAAATGCAAAACACCTTCATCAAAACAAATTCTTAAAAATCAACGCGATTTTTGACTAACTCTGAACTTGCATTTTCTTACCAGAATTTAATGGGATGCAAAACTGCGTACTCAAAAAAATTCTAAAAAATCTGGTTAAAAACTTGAAAATTTTTATGAAAATTTGCTGAATTTTCGCGAGTTTTGCACAAAGTTTAGGAATTATATTTTTATGTTTTTTGTTGTTGAATGAACCATATTTTTATACAAAATTGGCAGAAAAATATTAGAATAAAAATTGTTGCATATATTTTGAAAAATTTGCTGTACCAATACTTTGTTCCGGCAGTGTATGTACATACAATGAGTACAGGATCGTCGATTTTGGCACATTTTTCTTGGATCGGCAGACCAAACTGAACGTTCGCTGCGACTCTAATATGTACACATGTATGCACGTATGAACATACCAGGAATGTGAACGGGATGAAAAATTTGGTCAGTTCGGTTCAGCGGTTCCAACTATTGTTTATTGTTCCACCTTTCGATTGGTTCGTAAAAAAAATTTTTTCTGACTATGAGCCGGGGTTTCGATTCGGTTCAACGGGAATTAAAAAAAATTATGCATGTCTGTGTTATTTTTATTAATTAACAATACAAAAAATTGTGTTAAACCAACATGGTATGTATTACCATTATTATAAAAAAGTGAGGAAAATTTATCTATTAAAAATGGTCGAAACGAACACCAGACCTTTACAATAAAGGGTTCGGCTTTCGGTTCGGTTAAAACATTTGTAGAAAATTTCGGTTCGGTTAATGGTTCAATTAACTAGAAGGAGAAATCGGTTAATCCGGTTCAATACCGGTTCGGTTCAAAAACGGTTCACGACCCGGGTACAAACACATACGTACACGTACATAAATTGTGAAAATTTTTGGAATTGTTTCGAATTCTAGTATTAATAATGAAACATAAACATACATATCGACGTTTAAAGTACAAAACCGCGTATCGTCATTCTGCAAAACCGCGTAACTGACATTTGCTGCCAAAAATCGAATTTGCTCACACAAGCTCTTGGCTGAATCCTTATCCATTCGTCCTGAAATATACTAGCCAGAAATGCGATTGCTTTATAAAAAAAGAGAACCATTTTGAAATATGAGTGTTTTTACCCTCGAAAATAATTTATGCAACCTCACATACGCGGTTTTGCATTATCCCGATACGCGGTTTTGCATTTTGTTGATACGGGGTTTTGTACTTTAAACGACGATATGTATGTACATATGGGTCATTCCATACAAATTTACACCTCAATATTTTTTTTTTTTTGGTGAAATATATTTTTTTACATTCTTTATCGAAAACAAGAAGACACCTATTTTTTATTTCGTCAAGTGAAATCCGTAGATTTAGGTTCCATACTAAAGTTTCTCTCGGATACAGGATTAATAGACACACTATAATCCATGAAGGGAGGCACAATAGATCTTAAGGTCGCAGTGCTCTATCCCCGAACAATAATAATAATAATAATAATAATAATAATGGAGTACGCTGTAAAAATTTTAGAATGGTAACACCAAAACTGTAGAAGTTACGAGTTTTTCATACCTGCGTACATAAACTTTAGTATAAACTATATGTACGCAGGTATGAAAAAACTCGTAATTCTACAGTTTTGGTGTTCACATTCTCAAAATTTTACAGCTCCATACTCCATTTACACCATAAAGTTTGACAACTATTCAGGTTGAAAAAAATAAAAATAAAAAATGATGAAGTTAATAAAAAAAAATATATATAAAATTAGATTTTTTAATGCATTTTTTTTGTTTTAATCTATCTCACACTCTCATGGAAAGCCGAGGTAATTACGCAAATTTTGATACCTTAACTCATTTTCTCCGACAAATAGTTTATTAACCACAAACAATTAAAAAAAGATACTTCTCCGTGAGTTCAAAATTTCGGCAACTTTTTTCGAGATTTTCGAATATCATGACGAAATAAAATAATATGTGTCT